ACCAGACCAACGTTACGAGAGATACTAAAAAGAGCTCTTTGGACAGAGAAGCAACAACTGACCATTAACACACATGATGCTATAACCGAGAAACCAACCCAGCTATGGAAGTATCCAAAGTAAAGAAGCCGACAAGATTGTAAACAGGGAACCAGAGACATCAATTGACAAATGAGGACAACTACAAACCAGAAAGAGGGAAAAAACTGTGTCATTATAGAACTTCTAGATGGAAAGCATGTCAAGACAACTACAAGACAGAACAGACTGTTCTAAACTTGGGAAGAAAACTATAAATCACAGGGTAACCTCAAAGAAAAATGATAAACCTTCCCATCAAAATAAAAGAGGACCAGCATAAATATTTAGTAAATACTAAAACAGCAGCAACGAAGGAAGTTATAATAGGATTCATAACCCAAACGAGCTCAGCATAGAAAATTATAAGGAACAAAGAAATCAACACCACAAAAAAGCACATAACAAAAATGACAGCAACAAATTCATATTTGCCGATAATTACACATCTGGCAAGGGATTTATCTCTGATTTACGAAAAACTCCAACGCCTCAACAACAAAGGAATTAACAATCCAATTGAAAATTGGGCAGAAGACATGAATAGACACTTCACCAAGGAGGATATTCAGGTGACAAGCTACTACGAAGAGATGCTCACATCACTGGCCATCAGAGAGCTGCAAATCAAAACAATGAGATACTGTCTCACCCCAGCACTGATGGCAATGTTCAACAAGACAGAAAATAACAAATGCTGCTGGGGATGTGGAGAGATTGGGACTCTCATACACTGCTGACGGGACTGTGAAGTGATACTACCACTGTGGAAAGGTATATGGTGATTCCTTAGAAAGTTGGAACTGGAAATACCATTTAACCCAGCAATCCCATTACTAGGTATGTATCCTAGAGAGGCGAGAGCCAGGACAGGAACAGATATATGCACACTCACGTTCATCGCAGCACTATTTACAATAGCAAAAAGAAGGAAACAACCTACATGCCCAACAGCGGAAGAGTGGATGACCGAACTGTGGTACATACACATACTGGAATGCTATGTAGCACTAAAGAATAACGTAGAGTCTGCAAAAAAACCGCATAATATGGATGAACTTGGAGGACATTATGCTGAGTGAAATAAGTCAATCACAGAAGGACAAATATAGTATCAGTTCTTTGTTGTGGAGGGTCAAGGAAAGGTTTATATATGGAGGGAAACTTTGTTGCTTGCCAAGGATGGAGGGGAGGGAAGGGAACACTGCAAAAAAAAAAAAAAAAAAAAATGCATTGACCCACGTCACTTTAGTTTTGTGTATTTGACTGTACATAAATTATATTTCAATAACATTAAAAAATAAATAAACTGTGCCCAAGCCTGTTCACTCTCAGAGCTGCAGCCTTTTCCCACTTCCCTTGCCCTGCTCCACGTTTTAGGGCTGATGCCTACGTCACTTTAGTTTTGTGTATTTGACTGTACATAAATTATATTTCAATAACATTAAAAATAAATAAACTGTTCAAGCCATCCCACTGTGGCATATATTCTTGTCAGAGTGGCAATAGGTAACCAGAACAATAGGTAACTTGAGTTCTACTATTTAAAAAGAAAAAAAAAGCAGAGAAAGTGGACAACAGCTGAAGGAACAAATGTGGAGTCAAACAAGGAGATATATATATGAAATAATAGCATGATCATAGGCTGAAGGGCACTATCTAGTGAAGAGAATTAACAGGACATAATGGGAATAATGGCTAAATGCAGGTCCTCTTAACAGGTTAGGGATGGAATCTAACACACAAAGTGGTGAAGACTGCCTTAAAATAGGACTAGGAAAATCTGGTAACTAGAGGAAAGACAGAGAATACAAGCACAGATATAGGCAGGTGAGTAGAATGATAGTGGGAGGCTATGGAAATTGTTTCTATTTTCTAAGTTGAAAAAAATCTTAAGGTAAGAGGATAGGAAAGGTGCTAAAATGTCAGACTGTTCTAGGAGACTGAAACAGTAAATGGAGTAAAGAAATATAGTAGGATTGTCAGGTGGTACTAGGATTCACCTGAGGTCATGACTTTAAACACAGAAATTGAATCAGCATGTTCAGTTGCCCAAATTCAAAAGTGCAGAGAAGGTAAAGAACATAATTTAAACAAGAGTTTAGGGAGGCAAGTACAACAAACCAATAGAGGGGCAAAGCAATTTATTTGTGTAGCCAAGATTGGTTGTAACAATGTACCAAATCTAAGCTAGGTATACTAAGAACACAAGGAGGTGAAAAACAGAGAAGGTGAGAAGAATTAGGTCACATATCTGACCTATGATTTTATGTCTGCTTACATGTCTACATATCTGACTCCCCCTCTAGACTGAGGTCCTAAATGGGAACAATGTCTCATCTTTTCATTCTTAGCACCTTAGCACATAAATGTTACATGCATGGATGCATGCATGGATGGATGGATGCTTACCAGGCTTTAAGGGAAATTCCCATCACCAAATACTATGATATATAAAGTTGCTACTTCCTTACCCCCCCCCTTTAGGAGTTTCAAGTACAAAGTTACAATGCTTTTATCAAAATCTATGATATAAACAAATCCTTTGAAATAAGACAAGATGCTGTACTCCCCGTGTGTCTAAACCCAAATAAAAATATACCAGATATGTAAGTTTGCCCTGATTTAACACCTAGCTAGCATGAAATCTCTGAATTCCTCAATCTTTATTTCACCTCACTTGCTAAGATAGAAGGATTCAAAGCAGGCCTTGAAAATAGCAAGCTTCCCAAGCAGACACAAATCAAACTCAACCTAGGGGTGGAGAACAAATGGACAGACAAAGAGCATGTAAAATATGTTTTATTGTTCTTTAAAGGAGTTCAGGGTTTGGTTTTAAATCAGGCTGCACACCTCTCATCAGTCTGACATCTCTCTCACCATGTCAAACTGGCTTCAGCTAGCAATACTTCATTAAATCAAAAAAAGAAAAAAAAAATTTAATTTTGAGGAAAAAAATCCAGTTCTGAGAACAACTAACATTAGTCTGTAATTTAAAACAAAATGAGGGCTAATGTTTCATGTTGCTTTGTACACCCGTCTCCTCACACAGAACCAGGAATGTAATTTTCCAAACTCAAGCAGGCACTGATACTGATTGGACACTGCACACACACACGCACACACACCCTCCCCAAAACCACAAAAATCAGAGCATGTCAAAAGAAAAAGGTTTGTTCTGGTACTGAATCAAAACCCTTGGAGTAAACAGTCAGTCAAACTGAGCTTAGAGGGTATGTTATTTTGATCTTTAGCCTATGTTCAAGGAGTCTGTTGTCATGTTCTGAAATAATTTTCAATAGTACCATCATTTTTCACTTTAAAATTCTAGAAACAATTTCAAGAAGCATTATTTTGTTTTGTTTGATGGGAAGAAGAGAAATCTACATATTTGCATTTAGTTGAAAATTAAAACAACTCCGGCAATAGGAAATAGGCAGTTCATATAGCCGGCCAACATCTGAGGTATTATCAGTGTGAGACATGGTCCTGGTCCATTCCTACTGGCCTAGCTGATCCTAAAAAAATGCAAGTTTATGGCTCTGCACAGCAAATTCCAGCAGGACAAGACGATCCTAAGCCTGTATTCAGAGCCTTAGAAGCAGAGCACTATTAAACACGTACTATTTAGGTGAAAAGAGTACAAGAGCCCCTGATGATACCCATTAACTTGTTTTGTCAATGCAGCCCAATCACAACTGCCCCTGCAAGGGGCAGTAAAACAGCTTGTCTAAGATTAACACATTGAACCCAGCAAAGAATCTGTAAAAATATCACTACACCACTTCACAAGCAACACAGTCTCTCCGCTACTCATTGGGTTGCTCCATTTCTCTTCTACCCTGTTACGGCCTGTGGACACACACTCACTAGGCATTGTTGGTTTTGAACCAGTGATTTCTTTTTAATCTCAAAAAGAACCTAGTAAGAAAATAACAAGGCAATCAGTGGTAAAACTGAACTGTACATACAGGGGGCAGTTAGGAAATACCCATCACAGGCATTTCTTAAGTCCAAAATATTAAGTCTTTGCTGCTACTCTTTTGATCTTTTCTGAAAATTCAGAGTATAAATCAGCCTTAAAATAAAAATTGTGAACTACCAGCATTTTCTGACAATGTCAGGCAGAAAATCAGAGTAATGCTACAGCACAAAATTCTATGAAGTGTAGAAAGTGTGCTAACTCTCTGCCTGGACACTCCTTTAGTGATGACCTGGAGCCCACCCTTCAGAAAACAAAGGTTTCTGACACACCCACTCAGCTTCATTGGTTACAAGAGGGAATAATTCAACTCTCAGCTAAGTTTCTGAGAAGAGAAACTCCTCTTTTAAAATGCTGTTTCTCAACTACTTAACCAAAAACAAGGCGGCTCCTGGCTACTTTGCCTAATGTTGGATAGGGTTTTCAGGAAAAAAAACTAACACAAATACCCCATCATCAGAAAA